AAACCATCCTTTTTGTGGATTCACGTATTTTGAGCCAAACCGACGTGAAGATTAGGCATGGGACAAATGCACGTCGGGCTTGCCAGATCCTGGCAGGCCCCTTCAGGAAAGTTTGGTTTGGACTGATTTGGGGTAGCTGACCTTCGGATGCTACCGCAATATGGGTGGGTTTTCTAGCGTTCTAGTCTTCATCGCCCGAGTGAAGTTGGGGAAGGCAGGACTAGTAATGTGGGATCCCATCTCAGCTCTTACCTGAGATCCCTTTTGAACTTGACTCCAGCATCTCATGCGTGGCAAAAGCTGCAGTTTCCCTGCCCCTGCTTCTTGGCCAACAACTAAGAACATCCAACAGAGGATTTGTGTGTGTGTGTGTGTTTGTGAGTTGTCCCTTTTTTTGGGGGTTTTCAACAAAACACAAACCAACTGCGGATTTTGTTTTCGTGGTTGTTTGTTCATGTTGTGTCGTTTGTTTCGGACCCTTTGCCCAGTGCTGAAGATCAGCTTCCCCCGAATTGGTGGTTTGCATGGGTGGTTTGGTGGTCGAAGGGTGGCTTCCCGTGCACCCTCCACAAGAACCAGGGGTTCAATCAAATCCACAGCCAGACCACCAGCTAAGGGGTAGCTGACAAGCTTTCAAGCCTCAGGCGTCCGTCCGCCGACATTGACCACTCCCTTTTCCCCCCCACGTATCAGACGTTCAGACGTCGGGCGGGGGGAGGCCCGGCGCTGGAAGCCTCCCATCCGTGAAGCCCTTGGAGCAGGCAGCTGGCAGCTGGGCAGGTGGATGGGGGTTGAGGTAGGGTAGTCCATTCGATGTGGTTGGGGGTTGGGGCTTGGGGGTTCGGGGCTGGGTGCTTCATGCAGCGAAGCTTGGTGATGGCTGAGTTTTGTGGTTAATTGCCCTTAGTCGGTTTGGATGGGTGGGGACTGTGAATTTAAACCCCTTCTCGTAGATGGTTTGTTGAGAAACCGCCCCCCGACCACCTTCAAATGATTTCGCTTGCAGTCGACGCGCGGCGGCAAGCAAGCACATGTGTTTGCCATATCGTTTCATTCATTTGGGAAGCCTTGTGCCTGCATAGGACACACCTTATATCCTTGGAAAGTGGAAAGTGGAGCCTTCAAGAACGTGAGCCATTTGCCAGCAGCTAGTTTTAATTTGGGCAACTGCAAGGCACCCCAAACGGTTCTAAACGGGTTCCAGCTTGAACGAAAGGACAATTATGTGTGCAGTTCCGAACACAAACTTGTTTCAACCCATTGAGCGTTACCTAAAGGCTGCAAAACAGATTCTGTTGATTCACGGTGCTACTGGCATGTTGCAGTCAAGCAATTTGAAGTGGGTGAATGTGAGTATTTCGATGCTCCAGCATTGGGCAATAGCCTTTTAACGGCCAACTTCTGAGACCAACTTGTGCCTGAGCTGCTGCCTGCCTGAATATGCATGAACGCAAGCGCAGGGTTGCGCATGGGGAATGAACTGTAGACGATTACGGACGTGCCTGAGGCGAATTCTGTCGCGCGCGCTTCATGTTGAGGCTGCAGCAGAGCAGGTTGCGACCTGCTGACTTTGTCCTTGCAGAGTGGCAGCAACATTTAGCGACATGTGCACAAGCAACATTTAGCCCAACCGCATGCAGAGATTGCAGGGTCACCATGAACATGGTACTTCACGTATCTTCACGTAGCCAGGTACGGATAGGTGAGTCTGAGGCCACCCTACCCTAGGAGCCCAAGACCTCATTATTTCGACCTTTGGGGGTAGGCCCTCATTTTGTGGGGTCAAACCTCATTATTTCAGGCCTTTGGATGGGTTCAAGGCCCTCATTCTTTGGGGGTCGATCCAGGGGCTCCTAGGGCTAATTCAAGATCTGGTGGTTTCCCACCGATGGAGTCGACCACGCCGCCTGCCCCGGAGCTGACGACGAATCCGAACGCGCTCATCGTCACACCCACGCGCTCGGAGTCGGAGGTGGAGAGAGATCGGGACGAAGCTGTTGAGGCTGGGTGGTCAGGGGGAGGGAGGGAGGGGGAGGAGGGGCTGCGCGCTTCATTGCTGGCTTGCTTGCTAGCGGGTGCTCGGGCTTGGTTGCTCATTTCTTGCCTGGTTTCATGTGTTGCCTTTGTTGCTCGATTTTGGAGGTCTTGCCGGTCTTGCCAGTTGGCTATTGGCATTGTGTTGCGCTGGTTGGTTCTTTTGCTAGTGTGTTGACTTGCTTTTGAATCTTGCTTGGTGTGTGTTTTTTTTTTTTTTTTTGTCTTGTTTGTCAGTGGTTGAAGTTTGTGTTCCAAATTGATGTCAGATGCCGGGTGCCGACACTTGTTTGATCCGTTGTTGAAGGGTTTCGGATTGATGACTGAACCTTGGCGGGTTGCTGTGGAAGCGAGGCGCGCTTGGTTGCTGGCTGCAGCGTGCGTTGGGCGTGTGAACCATGTTGGTTGGTTGCCAAATTTCAGTATGTCAGCTTCCCTGTGGTTTGGATGTGTGGTTTGGTGGGTAGGGACGGTGTCCCGTTTAGCCTCTACAACCAGGGGTTCAAATCCACAAGCCACCAAGCAAAGCCACCAAGTTGTTGAGGACCGGAATCTCACGGTCGGCCAGGCAGCTTGAGTCGAACTGCACGGCATTTGCCGATTCAATCAGGTCGCCGAACTCGAGCCTTTGAGGCCTATGAACGCGAGATCCTCCTGCTTCGCAATCGCATCGCCAAGAAGGATCAGGCAGGGGTCACCGGTTGTCAGGCGCCCAACACATCAAACCGCCAAGAGGGAAGCTGAGGTTTCCTCTTTACTCAGTTGCAATTCACTCGCGACTTCACTGGCCACTCAGAAAGGAACAAGAGGTCGCTCCATGCCAGAAAGGCAATTTTCGGAGCAAGCGGTGTTCAAAAGCTGCATGAATCGGGGCTTCATTTCAATAACCATATGGATTCAATCATGTGTCAGTTCATGCCCTGCGCATAGCGACTGGTTTCAGATTCATTCGGCTCGGGGATCAAATTTCGGGGCCAAAAGGCTTGCCAGGTCTTGCCAGAGAAGATCGCACAAAATGCTAGCATGCCTACAGTTTCATCTGGCAACCAAGCAAGCTACCTCTTGGAACAAAACAATTGGGCAACCTGTGTTCAATGTGACGCGAGCAGTTTCCATTTGCTTTCTGTTTGGCAGTTTCTCTTTGGTCACGTTTGATGGTTGGCATTCTCTCCAATCCAATTTAATCTTGAAAGACTTAGTTCAAGCAGCCTAGGTTGTTGGCATTCTGTCCATTGAGTTTGCTTGGCTTGGTCGGAATAGGTCCAATCTGTCCATGAGACTTTAGCTCAGCGCAATCCGCAGGAGCTGACCGACTGCCACCTGGAGTGTGCAAGGCACAAGGCCATCAAGCGCGACAGCACCAAGATGGCCAACGAGCTCCATAAGGCCCCAAAATGCCGCGGGAGGTACACAATCTCAAGGCGCCCTTATAAATTTAACATAAGCCACGCCTGTAAAAATACATACATGTCTGCCTATATGTATACATATACGTATGTCAAAGAGGAAGTGTATAGTTGATGCATACTCATCCATATGGATAGACTGACTTGCCCCAGGTTCACCTTTTTACCTCTTGGTGTTCTCTTGTGGTTTCCTCTTTCTGGTTATTGTTCAGTCATGACTCCCAATGTCCAATTTGGGTAAGGGAGTATGAATATCTCTCTGTATGTGTGCAAATCACATCAAGCTGGCCGTATGATAGCAGAAGGCATGAGAGGTGCAGGTTTGAAACAATCGCCAGCATATCTTCTGAATAACTTTTTCCAGCTGGGGACTGTGTCATGTCAAGATGGTCCTACCTTGTCTGACATGGTTTCCACTACTCCCCCCCCAAACCACTGCCATTTGGGGTATGTACACTGTATGGCTGTGGGTCAAAGATGTGTACCCAAACTGGAACCCTGGTAAATGGAAGCTTGGACTACAACCTGCGGTTTTCTGGTGGTTTAATTTTGACACACCCCATATAGTGGCTGCCTGTATTTGGGGCAAGAGACCTCTTGGGGTAGTTGTTTGCGGGTAGTGGAGACCTTAGGAGGGCCTGCTCCCTTGTCACAAAAAAAACAAACACGTCAGCCGTTCACCGGTACTGGGTGGAGCCTAAGGCGGCTTGGGTCTCAACGCGGGGAAGACACCAAGGTTCTTTCTTTCAGGGGCTTGGTGGCTGAAATGTGTTTTTTTTTTTTGCGCCATGGTCTAGGTGTTGATTTAAAAAGGCATCGGCCTCTCTTTTTTTCTTCTGCTTAATGCAATCCAGCATTGCCTTGCTTTGAGCTAGAACCCTTTCGCGAGAAAACGGCACAGCCCTGGCCGTTTCCAAGACTCATCGATTTCAGGCCCGGACCCAGCTGCAAGAGGAGCAGGACCGGAGCAAGGAGTATAAGGCGCGAGCTGGGCCAGTCCCTTCGTCAGGTATGAGAGGGTCAGGAGGGTGCTTAGCGGCTGATAGGTCAACAAGCTTGGGAAACCTTGGCTTGCAACAGGGTCTCCACTTGAGAATGTATATTTGGTTACCTATAGATAAGGACCGAGTATTGGGCATAGGGTAATTTGAATCAGCTTGGGAAGCTTGGTGCAAGGGCGGCGATGCGGCTGACCCGCTAAGAGGCCCCTGTTACTGTTCGCCCCCGGAGAAACGACCCCAAGTTGAGACAGCTGAATATTTATCCAGCTCCAGCCCTCAGAGCATCCCCTTGTGGCTTTTACAGCAGAACCGTTTGGGGGGCTCCTGAGAAAAGATACATTTTCAAGGCAATGTTCAGGTGTATAATGTAAGGACCCCTGTTTTTGGAGGCACTCGAAGTGAGTTTTTCTTTTGGGGTGCCTGTGGGGAAATATCGAGGGAACTTCCTGGGAGGCTTGCGTGAAGTTGGGTCAGTTACCTCGGAACCTTTCCACCGGCCGAGGCAGTTTTGCCGGCCGAATTTATGGCCCGAGGATTTTGCAGGATTGGCACCGGGCCATGGCTGCAAACCTACCCCTTCCAATCCCTAGCAGACTAGGCAACGGGTGCTTTAAGTTGCCCATACTGTGGATGGACGAAATCCGGAACCGCGCCATGGGATCCATGGTTTGTTGATATCTTTCTTCGGAATCAACTCCTTCCAAGGCTTCTTAGGTGGATTTCATATTGCTGCAGCCTCGAGGATCCCAGCCGAACTTTGGTCAACATGTCCAGTGACACATAGCCACGCGGAAACAATATACAGTTTTCCTCTCGTGCTGACACCGGCCTGCTTCTTCTGGGGCTCGGGACCATTTACACCTGGAAGCCTCACGGTCGCTTTGGCGCCAGGCCCAGGCCGAGCAGTACAAGGCTCAGACGGAGCACCTCAAGGGCCAGGCGCTGGTGGGCCGTTTTCGCCCGCCGGAATGGCGGCCAGTTGCGGCAGTTCCGGATTTCAGCTCCGGATTTCAGCTCGACATATCTTTTTGGGTGGGTCGTTCATCGGCCTCACTTTTTGAGGGCACCCTTTTTGAGGTCTGTTCAAAGGGAAGCAAGGGGAAAAAATAAAATATTTTTGCGGGCCCTCGATTTTAAGGGGCACCAGTTGGTCTTCAAAACGTAACATGCGCTTTTTGAGACAGCGCTTCGGGGACAAGGAACCCTGGATTCTCCAAGGCCCACCCTTTTGGAAGATCCCCTTGTATCCTGGTTGTTGTTGGGACACATTTTACATTTTTGCTCATTGTGGTTTGGTGGTTGAATTCCAACCACTTAACTAACTGCTGATTTCTAAAACCTTTGCTCCCCTTCCAACGTCAACCAAGTTTACCCACAGGGTCACATGGCTTAGCTGTGAAAGATAAAAGGGCCTGAGGCAAAGCGTACCTTTGATTGAATCCTTCTGTTACCCTCCCACCAATTAACATGGAACCTGACAGCTTCGCTTTGGGGCTTTGGGGTTTAGGAACTCTGGTACCGGGCGTCCCTTCAGCCTGTCGGAGTCTGCCATGGCTTTCCCTAGGTTTATCTTCGGCGGGCTTGCGCCAGAGTCACAGGGGCTTCTTGCAGTAGGGCAAGAGTAGCTGAAAAGCTTGGTATGGCCATGTGCGGGGGGGGGGCCGGTGGGCGGATGGGGGGTGGGGGGGGGGGGTTGAGGGGGTGGGGTGGGGGTATGTACGACTGGGCGCAGAGGGCCAGGGGTGTGCCTTCATTGAGGCTTTGGTCGTGCGATTTCCCCTGGATCACCTTGATATAAGGCACTGAAAGCCATCAACACAGTGAGCTCAGCGCATTTCTGGATAGCTTTAGGCTTACTGGAAACCAAAAGCAGTAAAGAAACATGATTTGCCAACATAGATGTTTCAAAGACGTGTGGTCATCTCCTCTCTAGGACCTTTTTTGTGGCGCAAATTGGGTGCCGCACCATGCCGTACCATGCTTTGCCATGCCACCTGCCAGATTGTCGAGGAGGTGCTACCTGCAATTTGAAGGCCTCGAGGCCGCATGCCTTTCGAAAATTAGTGGAGTTTTAGCCTCCTTTTGGCCGCACATTTTGCGGCCTGGCATTTTGACGCGCGACGGACACTTCCCGCGAGAATGGCGACGTCCCAAAACCTGGGACTTTTTTATTCCCATCACTTCCTAAAGTAAGGGCACGCCTGGGAAATTCCGGCTGTCTCCTCACCAATGCGCGGCGTGCCGCCACTTCCCTTTGAACCCGCCAGGGGAAGTGTTAGTTCAGGGGAATCCGGCACCAGTTTTCCAGGGCCGGAGAAATGGATGCCATGGCTGAATGAAAAAGGAGACACCACATGCCCAAAATTAAAAAATGATGTTTCGCCCTTATGACCTGCACAACCTGGAAATTCAGACCTTCACCAAACCAAACCACGTGGCGAAACCAGCAATTTGCAGGTTCCCCAAGTCATGCGCTTTGCCCTTCCAGAATTCCACCCGCCCTTCCCCCGCTCCTCATCTGCCCACCCTACCCCCCACCACCTCCCCCCCCCCCCCCGCCACCTGCCTCACGTGCGCCTGGCGCGCGCGCGCGCGACGCCGCCTGTTGGAGGTGGACCAGCTGAAGGCGGCGGCGGGCGTGGAGCGCGCCGCGGCGTCGGAGCTGAAGGAGCTGAAGACACGGCACCAGGCGGAGCTCGAGGAGCTGCAGAAGGAGCCCCTCGACCGTTTCGCGCGTGTCGCGGTGTCGCGGGTCGCATGGCTAGGTCCAGCAGCCAGGTGCCCTTTCTCAGCCCTTTTTCGGGGTAGGGTTCCCCGGGTACCTTTATTCCAACCTCTCAGTTCCCCGCGCGTCGCGGTGTCGCGCGCGTGTCGGACGCGGTCGCATGGCCGGGATTTGCCGAGTTTGGCGAGCTCGAGGGCAGAACGAGCTGAAGCCATGATAAAGGTCCTTTAATTGGGGATCCAAGTCTTAATTCAGCCTTTGGAATTATAGCATTTGCAGAGCTGGGATGTAAGCGATGCTCGGTGTTTGGCGCGACCGACGTGCACTGAAAGCATCGATTTTGGGGGGCTACAAAAGGTGATTAAGCTTTCTTTCAGAGCGGAAACGCAGGAGGTTCGGGCAACTCAGTTTTCGGGCCCCCGACACCGATGAAAAAAGGAGTCGCAGCACTGGCGGAACACTGTGGAGGAGCTGAAGGCAAAGCTGGCCACTTCACGGCATGTCATGCTTGATTGTGGTCCCAGGCCTTTCTTCAACTTATTTTTAGAGTAAACAAAAACACCTTTTGCACTGAGCTTTTTGTTCGTCTTCATCTATCTCCAAGTCAGAGTTCAAAGTATCTTCCATCGGCATTAAGTCTACCCCCAACGTGGTGGTGGCCTTTGTTTCGTGCAGGGAACCTCCCCTGTGAAATTATGTGCCGAAAAGGAGTGGCCTTTCTTTGCCATTGCCACTGAGTGTGTGTGCTGCCCGGAGTGAGGGAACCCCCTTTTGCTAAGTTAATTTGCAGGGGAATAGGTTGAATTAGCTTTCTTAGCAGGCGTGGCTTGGTCTTCTTGTCTTGTTTTGTTCTGTATTGTTCATTCCTCACTTCATTTCACTTTCCGGACAAATTGCATGCAACCTTGCAATTTGTCCTTGCAAGGCAATTCCCATTCACAGGTTTCGCTCCTCTAGAATCTCACTTGTCCAAAGCCGACCTTTTGACCTTTTGGTTTTCGTTGCTTGGTCTATGTTGAGTTATGGCCCCAAAAGGTGATCGCCTTTTATTTCTGGGTCCCTAAGGGACACCCCCCAAACAATAAACCGTATTCGGTTTAACCAGAACCCGGCAGTCAAAGAATACCACAGCCCGAGTTGCTTTGTTGGGCACGTCAAAGGGAGATATCGTGAGTCTAGCCCGACCCGCGTAGTGCTCAAAGCAAAACCATGAACAAGTACCCGCAAGACTGGGCACCCGAATCTCCCTGGTTGGCTCCCAAAGCTCCTTGAAACCCGTGGAAGACATGGCTTGAATTTGCTTCATGAGGGTCTCACTTCCTGAGTTGATGGACTTTAAACTTTTTGGAAAGACCATTTTAGTGGTAAATGAAAAGTTCAGACTTTTTTTGGCCAGTCAACTTGGGAAGTGAGGGGTCGTTTTTGACAGCACTGGTCAAGCAGTTTCGGATTCCTCAACCCCTGCCGGCTGAATTGGGGGGCCCCCTTTCAGTGGGGGTTCATCACGTTTGGAGGGGAACACCCCCATCTTAATCCGCTAACTAAGCGTCCAAACGAACAAATGGTTGATGTCTTTGTGGTGTGTCCCCTCTAAAGTCAAGCCCCACAAATTAAGGCAGGCTTATTCTTCCAGTGTTTGTTTTCTGCTCGCCGCCGGGCCAAGTAACTATTCCTTGGACCCAAAGAAAAACATGTTTGCGGAAGGGTCCTCTGTGAGGGCACGCCCTTCCTTGATGGGGACAAGCCATACCCTATCCTTCCCCAGTTGGCCAAGACCTGGCTTTTGGTTTGGAAAGTTGCTTGTGCCATAAAAACTTCAGAGCAGAATCCGGGGCACCCCCCCAAAAAGAAACAGAATAAAAGCAACAAAAATCAGACTCACGAAGCCGACCTTTCGACCTTTTGGCTTCCCCATTCTGGGCTGTTTTTAGTCCTGACCCCAAAGGTGATCTTTCTTGTATTGAGCCCTGCAAACTGCCAGAATAGGAAAACGGGTAGACATGGGTGTGTGTGTGTGTGTGTGTTTACGTTGAGGCTACTTTCTTTGGCGGGTTGCGAAACAAACAGGAAGACCGAACTCCGTTTTGCCTCATGGTTAAATGTGTTTGAGATATAAGGGTGCAAAGCCATGCCATGACACGGGGTCAATCAGGTGATTAGATGGTTTGGATCGGATACATGACAATGCCATGACAATGGGTTAATCAAGTGATTAGATGGTTTGGATTGGAGACTTCTCACCGCTTCACCACATCACCGATTCGGCTCCACACTACCCTTTGTGAGGGAGCCTGATGAATGGAGGATGATTTCGCACTCGTTGGGTTTCCTTGCCCTGAGGGTCCAAAAGTACCTAGGTACTTCGACCCCTTTTTGCCCCCGAACGGCTTCTAGGAGGTACCAAGGGACCCTCTGGGTTGAGCTGCAAAACGGCGGCCGAGGCGCCACAAGGCCACGCCCCGGCGCCGGAACGCGCGGCGAACTCGAACTCCGCGCCGAAGCCAATGGCACAGAGCCCAAGCGCCACGGCCGAATCCGCAAAATGCGCGAAAGCCTTCGCGCAGATTTTTTGTTTGGCACTCGAGTGGGTTTGCTCGGTTCAGGGTCGAGGTTTTTTCCAGGAATGAAGGGGTTGATACAAAAACAGCACTGGTATCACTGAAAATAGCAGGGAAAGGGCTCATACAACAAGCATAGCCATCAAGTCTGCCCAAAGAGCCGGTGTAGATGGTTCTACTGAAGGATTGGAGTGACGCCCAAGCGCTTGTTGTGCCGATTTGAGCAATTTGTTCGTGGTTTGGGCTCTCATAAAGTCACCAACGAACTGAATGTTTGTTTGGATTTCAGGGGAATCGAATCATTCCAGGGCTTCTTAGGAGCAGGACTTTGTCCATCCACATTTTGTACAGTTTGTACATGGTGTATGCGTTGTGGTGCATGTACCATTGGGTTCGGTTACATTCTTTATCGTTCAGGAATTTCATCATCCAACTTGGGCCTGCCTCTCTGATAGCGTGTCCCAAAAGAATATAAAAGGGCAACCATTCTTGGTTCTCGAGTAGTGCTATTTTACCTTTTTTCCCCTACTAAAATAGACTACAGACAAAAGTTGGTAGGACCTAGTCATCCCTTGTAACTGGGGCTTGAACCCAAGGCTGTCTCTTTTTCAGCACCAGCCCACCAGAACTTCTTTCTAGGGGTTGATTCCCCATTCTTTTCAACCATCGTTCTTTCAAAAACCGGATCTGTGATGGTTTCGGAAAGACTGGAAATGAAAGGTAGCCCCCTGGACCACCCGAGATCTCCATGTTTGGCACCCCATTTTCCGATTTTATGCCTTTTATGGGGACTACATCCATGGAATTGGGGAAGAATCCAAATGGAAGGTAGCCCTAGATTCTTGCTCCTTTTAGGGTTGAACCCAAGTTCTCTTTTTCAGCACCAGCTGTCCGGAACTTGCGCAAAAAGTCTCGAGGCAAGTCCTCGCGGCCAGCCAAGAACCTTCGCATGCTGGCGACCACCGGCAGTGTGGACTTGGCTCCTGACAGCCGCGCGGACCTTCACCCCAACGGTATCCATTGCCACGGGGATCTCACTGCAACATGGACCCCCCGCCCCAAAAAACAAAGAAGAAAACAATAACACGTCTGCTTTGGTGGGACTCCGCTTTTGGGGTTCCATGTTAATCTGAAGGGGGGGTTGAACTTTCCCACCAGTTTTCTGGTGGTCTTTGATCATTGCCAGCAAAGCGGGGGGCGCTCCAGTGCCGGAAACGTTAAACAAGAGGTTAAAGAAAGCCCTGCATTACTGGGGGTTTACACGTTGGCTATCAAAGGCTAAGGGGAGTATGTTTTGCATGCTGTCACTGGTTTTTCATCCAACTGTGTCCACAGAGGCAAACCAACGAGCCCTAGGGTTCAACCCCCATTAAACGAATTAAGCCAATGGCAAAGACCTACTCTGGATGATAACATTCCTGAAAGGCAAATAGGTGGTTATATTACCCCCCCTTCGATTTGATGGTGGCCTGCCTGAACCCCCGGCTAATTGAGTACCTGTTTTACCCACGTGTGCAGCCGCTATCAGTTACGAGCAGTCCTCTGGCTTTTTGCGACAATTTTCAGGGATCCCCAAAGTACTCCGCCTCGAGGACATGTATTCAGGTGGAATGAGCGTAAACCCCCCGGTAAAACGATTGCGACCCTTTAAACGAAGCCCCCAATTCCATGTTTGCACCTTTATGTTTTTGCGAGAGCTCATGTGTCAAGGGCCTTTGCGCTGCCCAGCTTGCTGGTTCCGTTGAAACTATTTTCAATGGCGAGGCCACGTCAGTGCAGTCACATGGGCACAAGTGGTTCCTAGTCCCATCCTTCACTTGCGTTTTCTTATGTTCCCCTTCACAGCTTGAAGCTACAAAGATCCACGTTGAGCCTCTTAGGTTGCCCGCCCCTTTTTTTGGCTAGGTCCCCCCATAGTGCCTTTTACCCCTTTTTTGGTTGGGAGGGTTCCCCTATGAAAATAGACTACAGAAAAAAGGGTGCCCTTATTCTAACCCAGAACATATTCCAGCTGTATGTTTCTTCGTCAAGATTGAAACCCTCAGAATGTTTTTCCCGCCCCCCCCCCCCCCCAGGTGGTTTGGATTGGTGGGGGTTTGAACCTCTTGTTGTAGAGGCTAAGCGGGAAACCACCCCGGAACACCACCAAAACAACTGGGCTCCAAACCACCAGGAGGGAAAGGGTATGATTCACTGTTGGCGTGTTTTTTTAGTATTTTTTTTGACCTGTGGGTCCTGCTCATGTTTTAGTAGGCCGCTGCAAGAAAACGACGTCAGTTTTTCGCAAGCCCATACCAAGAGGTCGTAAAGGGTCCGTGTGTGGCTTGGTCTGAGGCATCACGCGCTTCAACGAGGCTTCGGCTACGGGGCCTTCTGCCACGCAGGGCTGGCCTGCGAAGAGTCGGGAGGCGGAGGGATCCAATAGCTGGAGACCCGTGACTTTCTCCTCGGCCAAGAAGGACTCGCAGACGTCGGACATGTCGGTGCGTCTATTTTTTAGGAATCGGACCCCCCGAACTTGGCTTCGGTTTTCTTTTTGGCTTTCCTTGAAAACTTGAAAACCAAACAAGTTGTGCAATCGAAAAAAGACATCCAAGTGGGTTCGTGACGTGGAAGTGCACTTCCACGATTCAGGGCCAGACTTTGACCTGCAAATAGTCAAGCTGGGTGCCAAGATAAAATGAAGGAAACCCCAAAAGGCAAACAGTTGTAAAAAGGTAAGGCGTTGGTCTGGTTGTTTGGGAGGGTATCCATCCTTGAACGATTTTCTTGGAAACATCCAAAAGCCACCAACATATCTACATCCTTGATCCTCCAAAGCAACTGGTAGCTGATAAAAGTGATTCTCTATGGGGCAATGTATCCTTTGAGGAACTCTGTCAAGAACTGGGTTGGGAATTGGTTGGGGATTGGGAATTGGGGGTGGATCAAATCAGTGATATGGACCCCAAAGATGGTGTTTTCGTTAGCCTTTACCGGCCCCAAGGGCACCCTCCAGATTGGGAACCTGCTTGGCAGGAACCGCCCCGTTCACCCTACAGGACCCCCAAGACTCTCAGCATTCGCCCGGTTCTTGGGGTGACAAACCGGTTGGTTTCCCTCTCAAACCAAGGCGGTTACAGTTTGTTTTTGTTTTTTTTTTCTCCCGCAAAACGGTGTGGCTATGTAAAGCGTCACCTTTTGTTGCGGTCCAAAAGTATGTGACATGTTAAGTTGAAGGGTAGCTAAATATCTGAAACACAATCTAAACCGATGTTTTGTGTACCCTTCCAAGAGTTCGATTCCTATCGAGCTCCTTTTTGACATCATGCGAGCATTTCCAGGTGCCGGTTTGTTTCTTGCCTCATTTAGGAAAACACATGACACGAAGCATTGGGTTGGCGGCCTCCGGCTTGAAACACAAACCATGGTTGCCACCTTTGAAGGCAGCGGCGGTACTGTGGATGGACTTTGAAACCATGGGAAACCATTGTTTGTTTGTATGTATTGGGGAATCATCCTTCCAGGGTTTCGTAAGTGCAGGATTTCGTCCATCCACCTTATTTATGTTTGGAGGTTACGCGCTTGTTGCATGCCCAGTTGGCCAACCACAAAGAAGATGTTGAAACACGGAGCTTGACGTTTAACTTTTGAAGTTTTGATGAGGGACCCTCCCTCCTGGAAGCTGACATCGGAGGTTTTGGAAGGCTACTTTTTGTTGGGGAACCCCCCCGATCTTCACCCTCCATTGTGGGAAAGGGAGTAACTCACCTTATTTTCCTTGGTGTTCGGGGTCGTTTTCGAATCTGGCGCCAGCATGCAGACCACTTGGGTGTTGCCGTAGGACTCTGAGGGGAAAGAGTCCTCGGTGGGGAAGGCGGGAGCTTTGCGCCACTTGCTTTGGGATCCGAGAAATCAAGGTGTCCCCTGTTCCCTGGGCCCCCCCTCTGATTTTCACAGGCACTCACCGAGTGAATGAGGCGAGTGGGTTGGTTTGAAACCTTCCAGGGCTCTTGTGAGCAACCCGCGTTTCATTGTACTTGTTTTTTTCTCCGGGCCTTTTTTCTTGGCCCGCTTCGAAGTAGAACTTGCTTGCTGGCGTGCTAGATGTCTCTGTCGCGGCTGGTGGGATTCGAGGTCAAAATGCCACCAGAAGAGTCTAGAGGAGCCTCACACCCAAACTTTATCTAGGTAGGTGCCCTCTCTCACCCCTCTTTTGGTTGGGAGGGTTCCCCTGCGAAAATAGACTACAGAAAAAGGGTACCCTTATTCTATACTGGAGGACCTAGTTGTGGCTATTTGGTTGGATCTTGGACTTCAACTTCAGGGGAAGCAGCTCGGATGTTCCATTGGACACAGAAAAGCTAAGCTTTTTGCAGAGGGGTCGACAGCAACCAAGTAAAGGAATGCCCATAAACCCGTGCACCCCTCTCCTATCTTCAGGGGTGCCCTTTGAGCAAGTTGCAGCTAGTCCTTGAATCGGTTTCTTTCAATGGGTTTGTCTTTTTGGGAGTTGGTACCCTTTCTCGGGCTGGAGGGAGCGAGAAGGACACCTCCGTTTTGAGGGTACCCCTAGTTTTGAGACATACCTCCGTGTGGCAATGAATCAAGCTTCGATTTAACACTAGGTCCCCCAGTAGTGCCCTTTTACCTTTTTTTTGGGGGGGAGGGCTCCCCCACTAAAATAGACCGCTGAAAAAATATCCTAACCTCCCTACTGGAGGACCTAGAACAGCAAAAGATGCTGGATGCTGCAAGTCGAAATTGCCAAATTCAGAGGACCGATGTGATTCGGCTTGGCTTTTTGGGGCGCCACCCGTCCAGAGAGTGGCCCAGAGCCTCCAAAACGACTATGGAAGCCACCACACAAATGGTCCGTTGGTGCAAGAATGGTCCAAACCTGGTCCCGTAACCCCTTGTCGTGGAAAACTGGGATTTAGGCTACGTGGTTTTTCGCATACCAAGGTTGAGCACCAACGAGTATCATGAGAATGGGTCATTTCCCACCTGGGGTGACTCATCGCTAGTCTCAGGTGCCCCTCAATTGGGCGTGTCTTTGTTCAACAGTGCACACTTTTTTTGAGGTTTTACAGGAGCACCAAAAGGACAACCCCTCATCTTAGGGGACCCCCCAACAATTGACACACTCAATTGGCGATTTGGATGGGTGGGGCTTGGAACCGGGACCCAAGATCCAAACACATTCGCCAGGTCCATCTGCCGGGCTATGGTACTGCAGATGGGGCTAGTACACTGGCCAAGGCCCTTTGGCACAACGGCAAGCGCCAAGCTCTCGGGTTGAAGGTCCAAGTCCAAAAGCAGTTCTGGGGTGCTGGGGTGCTGGCCCTGGTGCCGTGTTTCCCCGGTTTTTGTTGCGGTGTGTTCTTTTTTCTTCCTGTGGCGAAATGGAAAAGAACGGGATCCAAGCGGGAGAACCGAAACGGCAGACCCGAGGACCCGCGGTTGGAATTCCATAAGCACAAGGCCCAGATAGATCTTATTCGCCCCTATTGGGGGGCCTGTCAGCCACATATCAGCGTTGCCGGGCCCCAGAATCAACATGAACAGCTCTCTATTCTTGCGTGCCAATTTCTTCCCAGAAGATCGTGGGGAGTGCGCCAGTTTCGTCCGAAACCTCTTGGAAGGCAAGGGGCGTGCAAGGGCAAGCCGTTTCTGTTGCACCGAGTTCGCCTGAAACGCCCGATCGAGGTATTGCTGTCCAGGATCAACATCTCAATCTATGGTCCGGAAGCTCGCCGTCAGCAGCAACAGCAGTACCAGCAGATGCAGATGATGTCCAACGGCATGCCGCAGATGCAAGTCCATGGCGTTCATGTGCCTTTGCTGCAGGAGTTATATACTAATTGTTTACCCCTGGAATCAGACTAAAGTTGGTTTCAAGTACACCACAATCCAGCTCTATTTTGAATGGCCCTTATATCAGTTGACATGCTGGTTCACAGCAGGGAACTGAGGGTGAGAGCGCTACGAGGTTCTTTCAAGCGGATCCCCCAAAGTTCATTCCCAAAACCCTTGAAATGTTCAACTGCGAACCGCTTATTAGCTCACTGGTGCGCTGGATGTTGGCTTTCATCTTGCTGAAACGTGCAGCGCAGCCAAGGTGCCAGTACAAGGCGGCCAAGGTATGCCCATGATGCACCTCGTCCAAAGCGAATCAACCTTTTGACCTGTTGATTTCCCTTTTTGGTCTATTTTTAGTCATGGCTTCAAAAGGTTGACATTTATTTCTGGGTGCTTTGGTCAACTGAGGCACGGCATGAGTTTGCCTACTCAAGGTTAAAGACGGGCCAAGTGGACAAGCTCGAATGCGGAATGATCATCGCGCCAAAACCCCCAGCAAAAAGGAGTGTGCGCTTTCGTTTGACAGCTGTGTGTCAAAAGTCTTCCAAGTTTAGTGGCATGTTCAAGGCTTCGTTGGGTAGCTTGGGGCACTTTCGCAGATGCATTTTAGTATTAGGGCTCGGGACTGCGAGTCGCGCTCCTTGTGATTGTGTGTGGAGGTGGCAAGTGTGAAGCGTGTGGTTGGTCTACTGATTTAAGGGGGTCGAATGGCAAGGGAGGCTCCTCAGCTCACGGACAGGCGCTGCAGATGCTTCGTGAGGTTGGGGACAAGAAGCCGCGGCCTTAGAAGGGAGTTCTTTGTAGCTAAGAGATACTCGGACTTTCTCTTTCCGTGTTTTTTCTCTCTTTGTCCCTTTTGCCTTCTGTCTTTCTGTGTGCGTGTACTCTCCCTCTTGGCTCTTTCTCTACCTTGCTGCTTGCCGCTCTCTCTCTCTCTCTCTCTCTCTCTCTCTTTCTCTCTCTTTCTCTCTCTTTCTCTCTCTGTCTCTCTCTCTCTCTACGCTTCTTGAAGCCTCGGGTTTAGCAAATCCGCCCTTAGCTTCGCGGTTCAGGCAATAGCCTCAAGCTTGGCCGGTTCGCAAATCACAGGTCGCAAAATACAGTGTAGTCCTTGCTGGCTACGCACTGCATGGTGTTGGAGTTTAACATGCTTTGAACATGGAGTTCAAAGCATTCAAGGGTTGTTTCACAAGCCCATTACCATATTTGTCAATAGATCCAGCGAAAGATCTGTGAACCAGTACCTTGCTGGAGTTTGGAGGGCAGTTGCGTGAACCGCATGTGATGCCGGTAAATCAATCAAGCCACTGACCGGAGCCAGCCATGCATATCCAGCAGGGAATGATCGCCCACATCAAGGCGATGCCCGAGCAAAACAGTTGCTAAGGGCTGCCCCTGCATGCCCATGCATTTCTCGCTGGTTCTGAGCCAGGGAATGGTGGAAACCATCCATCCTTAAGGATTAATTAAGAGGATTATTGGGATCATTCAATCTTGGTCACTGTTGCACGCTTCTGTTCAGTCCTTCAGGAAGATCATGTCATGGAATCCCTAGGGGGTTGGTCCTTGGGGGGTCCTTAAGGCTCCCTATGGAACCCTGAAGAAATCTAGCGCTCTCAACTACCCACCCCTGGTGCCTATCTTAGTGATTCGAAGGCCAGTAACCCTCTTTTGTTTAGGGTCGACCCACCGAAAGTCCGCAAAGGGCTCACCTTGCATGATCGCGCAAGCTGAACAACTAAGAACTCTGCATATGCTTCTTGAGGTCGACCCCCCCCCCTGAAAGACCGAGGTGGTTTGCGCACTTGCCGAGCCTAATTTCACGCACTTCTATTCCCCGGGTCTCCTTATTTCGGCAGAGAGATGTACATATGAACAAGAATAGTCTGAGAAAGATCGCACGTTTGGGCATGCATGCTTACAGGCAGCTAACTCAATTGGTTCCAGGACTGCAGACATTCCTCTGAACTTCCTTTGACCAGCGCGACGGCCGCTTTGAGGTTGGAAGGCTTGGCGCTCCTGGCCATGAGCGAGACCTACATGATGCCTGGGCCTCCGGATGCTTCGTGGGGCCGGGAGTTGGAATCTGTTTTTCTTTTTTCTTTTTTTCTGGGCCCTGAGGAATGACTCGGTTGCCCAAAGCGGGGTGGACCTTTTGACTGTTTGGTTTTCCAATTTTGGTCCCATATTTAGTCCAAGTTCTTTGGGCAACTGGTTTGCCAGTTTTGGTCCCATATTTAGTCAAGGTCCCAAAAGGTCCTTTGGGACTGCGGGCCTACTGCCCGGTAGGTTTTCAGGTGGATTCCTCCAAAACCATCATTCCAGGGATCTCCTGGGGGATCTCCCTGGGTATGCGAAGCTGGCAGGGAAGAGAGGGGGGGTATTCATCTTCCGTTTGCTAAATTAAGAAAATGCTTCTTATTTGTTGTGTATTTTTCTCTGTTGAATTTAAAGGGAATTGGGTCGTGCTTGCTACGTGTACGTTAAATCCCTCAGTTCAAATGCACCCTTGCCCTTTTTCGATTGGTGGCTTCCCTGCCAAAACAGGTCGACACAAATACCTTCTGTTCGAAGTGGTTGGTAGGTTTCTAATATGGCCCAAGCAGTCGGGATCGGGGGCCCCTCAATTGATTAGTTTCCATGCAGTTTCACTTGATCACCTGCCAAACGGGATCACGTCTCGCAAATATAGGGCAATGTTGAAGCTGACCGGGTTCCTTGCGGTTTCACTGCAAAACCCTAAAGCTGATTGGTTTCCTACTGTGGATGGACGAAATCCTGCACCAGCTCAGAAACCCTGGAATGATGCCCCCCTGTAAATACCAACAAACAGTGGTTTCAACCATGGTTTCCTTTCCAACTGGTGCGAAATGGATTCTGTCCATCCACAGTAGGTCCTCCAGAAGAGATGTTACGCTAAGTTGGCACCAACTTTTTTTGTGTAGTCTATTTAGGGAACCCTCCCAACCAAGAAAGGGGTGAGAAAGGGCACGACTAGGGGACCTAGTTTTGGCTTCAAACATTGCGGCTGGTCCCCAACAGCCCGTCCCCTTCCCCCCAACTAAGCTACCCCTCCCCCAACAGGAAACAGCTCCCATCACTGGGGAGAAAACGCCTCCCTCGCGGCCCAAAATCGCGTGTCACTCCAAACCAACTTGGGGAACAGCCCCCATCACTGGAGCTTTCACCGCAAAACCCGTCCCCTTCCCTCCAAATAAGCTCCCCCTCCCCCAGCCCCAACAGGAACAGCCCCCTGCATCACTGCACTGGAGCTTTCACTGCAAAACCCGCCCGCTAAGCGCCTGGCGCGCCCCAGGGGTAAAACTCCTGCAGGAAGCCCGCCTTAGTGGAGGCCAAGTCCGCGGCGGACGCCGCGCTGAAGGTCTTCGAGGAGTCCACTCAAGTCGCTATAGGTGTATCCTTTTTAGGTGAGCCGGGCTAAGAATGGGTATGGGTCAAAATGAACCAATAAAACCGCAGGTTTTGGCAACCATGTTTCCACTTACAAGGGTTCCATTTGGGGTACCTATTTTGGACCCACAGCCACCTAGATGGCACTGGTTTACATGGGTTTTGTTCCATTTACCAGGGCCATCTATTTTTCCAAAAGGCCACCTATGGTCACTAGTCGTTGGCTTGTTCGGATCGCCGCCAAATGGGGCACTTGGAGGAGAAAAACCAAAACCAGGTCAGGTGGATGCCCTAAATATACATATATATATATATATAGTGTAAAGGTTACAGTGAGAAACAAAAAACAACAGGTCAGGTGCAAATGCCCTAAATATTGCAAAGGGAACAAGGAACCCCCCCTAGCCTAGCCAATTTTGCTCATGGTTCTCGTGATTGGGAGTGGTTGAATTGCTTGCATTTGTTTAGGGCATCCATTTTAAGTTACGGTTATCACCGTTACCCAAACATAACTGGTTGGTTGGTCCCCAAAAAGCCGTCATGCAAAGCAGCCATCCCCTTTCAGGCCCCTGGTCGGAGACCAAGGAATCGGATCTTTCCCAGAAACTCCTGATTGATTTGGAGCCTTCAAACGGCCTGGCTTTAAGACCCCCAACCACTGAAGCGGGGTGTCTAATCATTGCCTCTGGGTTGGAGGAATTGTCAAATCGGGGTGACATTCCTGGGATTTTTTCCAGGAGCGGGTCCCAACCAATCCAAGCCGAAGGAATTGTTTTTCTCCGTGATCTTAATCAACGCTTCCCAGGCTCCGAGAGGTGCCCTTTTTCAGTGTCCCTGAAAGGATGTCAGCCAGGTAAAGGATCACCCAAATACCAGCTGATGTAGATAACATCCCCTTGTAAGGTGGTTTTTGGATGTATTCGGTGCAGGGTAGAAGATCCCAGCCGTAGATACATGGGGTTGGCGTCAAGAGGAGTCAGCCTTCCAAGTGGTTAGTATGACGTGCTCATTCAATCATCATGGCTGCTCGTTGGTGTGATCTTAGACGAACCGTTTGGAAGCACATTGCGATTTTAAGGGAATTTTCAACATGTTAGACCTTTTGCTCAGGCGGGAAGCGCATTCAGACATGACCACGGTTTTGACACATGAGCCTACCAGTTGGAAGTACGGTGGACAAAGGTTGGTTTCAAATTGGGATTCCCTTTGCACGGTGGGCTTGGCCTCCTTGGCAAACTTGTTGAGTTGTTCTGGGGTTGTTTGGGCGCTTGGCGAGGGGTCTCCGATGGTTGCGCGGGTTTCGCGGGCAGCAGGAGATGAGGAACTTGTAATGCAACCAATGCGTTTCCGACTCAAGCTAGCTTTGCGTTGGCCCGATTCAAATTGATTTTGGAAGCCCATTGCACCTGCAACCAGGATTTACTTGACCAGTGGTGCGCCAGCTTCGTTCACTCCCAATGATTTGCGGTGTTTTTGCTCTTGGTTGGTTGCCGGTAATACGTCATGGGAAAGAACCGCTCGATCTTGCTCTCGTGGTTGCAGTGGAAGTTGCCGCACCGCTTGGACCCCGCACAGTGTATCAACTCAAACAAATTGCTATTTGGACGGCTTGAGGGCCATGTGTGTTGTCTTGCGCCACGAACAGGGAGCGCCATCACGTTGACCACCAACCTCGCAACCAACTCTGCCTTTTACAGGGTAACCTCGAGTCATGTGGCCCTGCCGCCGCAGTTTCTGTGACTTTTCCAGCGCCACGGAGCACTGAAGAAGCGCGAGTTGGGCGGAAGGGGCCGCCATCAGGTCAGATCACAGCAGCAACTGCACTTGCTCAGATTGGCATTGGCAGCACACCGGCCATCGATTTCAACTTGCAGTCAGCTGCAAGGCATCTTGTTCTTGTTCGGAAAAATAGCACCGAACAGGATCAACAAGTGGCATCTCAACAAGCCAACTTCAACATAGTTATTGCTTGCTATCGAGTAGGATCTTTAGACCTCAACTTGATTCATGATTTCCCCACTTGCAACAAGTCCAACTTGTTTAGACCTCAACTTGCTTGATGCAGTTTGTCCCACAACTTCAACTTGTTGCATGTAGCTTATTTTCGTTGGTTAGATGCTCCTGTTAGACGGATATCCTTACCCTCGCCATGCTGGTGCAACCTGTTTTTCTCACTTCCTGAGTTCCTAGACTTTAGTGGCTTGTTTGGTAGAAACAATTTTGGTGGCAAATAACAAGTTTGCTGGCCAGTCCCACTCAGGAACCGAGATATGCGTTTTTTTTTCTCCCACTTGCAACAGGTTCAGCTTTTGCCGCTTGGGGCCGGAACCGCCAGAGTTGCTTCCCGCCTCCGTCATGACGGGATGCCATGGCGTGGGTTGTGGCGATCCCCTCCTTCGATCGCTTGGGCTCCATCAAAAGTAGGACCTTGCAGCCGGGCCGCGAACTCTGTGCTTTTTCTGGCTGGTTCCCAGCCATTCCGTTCGTTTGGTTTTTAGGTGTGTTTTTTTAGTTTGTTTATAGTGGTAGTTTACATTGAACCCACAACTCTGTGCTTTTTCTTGGTGGTTCCCAGCCATTCCGTTCCTTTGGTTGTTAGTTGCTTTTAGTTGGTTCTTACAGTGGTAGTTGGGGATTTGAGGGCAGCCCAATTTTGGGTAGGTTGAGGTCTGTAGAAAAGAACTATGACACATGAGCGTATGAACATGGAATCTTCAGGTTTTGTTCATTGCTGTTTGCCACTGTTATTTTGAGGATGCCATGTTGCTGCTGCAGGGGTGGTTGTTGATTTCCACTTGGCTATTGCTTGTGTGCTCACATTGCCCAAGGCAGGTCCTTTTGTCCTCGGGCATATCTGCGACTCGGATCTACGTCTTTGCCGATCCCACGCAGTACACCCAGTACCTCAAGGACCTGCAACTCACTTAAGCGAATCAACCTTTTGACCTTTTGGCTTCCCCTTTTTGGATCCCATCCAAAAGGTGACCACCTTTTCTTTCTGGGTCCGTTCATTTTTTGCAGCTAGCAAATCGACCTTTTGACCTTTTGGTTTCCCCCTTTTTTTTGGATCCATTTGCAGTGGGCCCAGAAGGTGATTACCCTTTCTTTCTGGGTCAACCTTTGTTTTGCAGCTGAGGCAAAGTTTAGGTATTCACGTGATCAAAGGGGAGCGGGGAGTGTGCAATCAGCGGAATGCGATCATGCGGCACTTCAAGCCCGGTGACCGCATCGTGGAAATGGACGACGACATCAAGGGCTTGGTCACAACCACCGGGGCTGTCACATGGTTGTTGTTGGGAAACATTTTGCATTTCTGCTTATTGTGGTTTAGTGGTTGAAATCCCCACTGACCTGCTAGACATTTTCAATTTGTGACTCCCCTTCCAACGTCTTAACCAAGGTCAGAAGCGACAAGTCGGCTAAGACGGTGAACGTGCCCAATGAGAATCTGGAGCTGATCCTGGATCATCTGTGGGAGATCGCGGACCGGGAGAAGTGTCAGCTCTGGGGCCTCTACCCCGTGTCGAACCCCTGGATGCTCTCGCGGACCTATGCGCTGGGTCTGGCCAAGAGCACGGCGCAGCTGCAGGGCTACTACAACCCGAAGGAGCCTTGGCTGCCTCAGAAGGAGGTGTTCACTGTAGGTATGGGGGTGTGGGGAAAGTATGTGAAAGCCTTAGAGGGTGCACGGTGCAACACCTGTCAGAGGGGATGTGAGGACTTTCACCTCACCGTCCCTGTCATGGAGGACTACGAGAGGATTCTCCATTTCTACAGCCAGGGCAACTCATGCATGCGCTGCGACTTTCTGGCAGCAACTTGGTAACAGTCAATTGGGCAGTTTGTGGTCAATTGAGCAGCGCCTAAATCCCCCAGCACCCAGTTTAGTGGCTGGTCCTATGGAAAGGACTTTGTATAGCAAGCATCTTAGTCATTAGAATCATGGAATCAAGCGTCAATGGGTTTTGGGGTGCGCCAATATTTGGGGTCACGAGGTTGCAGTTCACACAGAGGTCCGGAATCCTTCCATGGCTCCGCTTTGTTGTCCAATAGGGGTTTTGGATGAGGTTCGGACAGCGGTTTGTTGGATGCAGCCAGCGACCGAAACTTTCCCTCATGCCTCTCACGCGGATCGACCAAAAAGGACCCAATTTCGGTTAGTGTTGGGGATCGTGGTGTGGGAAGGAACGGATTAATTGTGACCCACCCCTTGGATCCCCAAGCCGAGGCAAGAGGCAAGCAGACATGCTCATTTTAGTGAGGGGGGGAGCCTCACGTGTCCAAATTGGGAGGCAGAGAAGTCCCAAGGATCCCAACAAAACAAGGGAGATTCCTCTAGAGATTATCATTATTGCTTCTTTTGTTAAACTCAGTTGCCCAAAACCGACCTTTTGACCTTTTAGTTTTCCTTTTTGGTCTAGTTTTAGTCATGGCCCCAAAAGGTTAACCTTTTAATTCTGGGTCCTTTGGGCAAGTGAGTAAAGCCTGGGCTCAACAAAACCAGCACAAGTGAAAGCAAAGCGACTCGACCTTTTGACCTGTTGGTTTCCCATTTCGGGATCCCTTTTTTAGTAAAGGGCCCGAAAGGTGATCACCATATGTTTCCAGGTCCAGACTGGGCAAGCGACTTCCTCCGCAGATCGTTTTTCTTTTTTTGCACCCAGAGGCTCCTGGCCCCTCCATTAGACACCCCGCTGAGGTGGTTGGGGGTCTCAAACCTGGCTGTTTGGGGGCCCTAAATACATCAGGAGCCTTTGGGCAGGTGAAAACGGACAACCGGGGCAAGGGCGGCCTGGACTCTGCTCTCACAGAGTGCCATGTGCAGAAGGAGAAGGACCGTAAGGCTCCGATCTTCGATGGGCAAGTTCTTTCGGCGGTTCTTTTCAGAGCTGGCTGTGGCTCAAAAGACCGGTACACAAAATGGCCTCCTGGTAAATGGAACCAAAGACCAAAACCTGCGTAACCCTAGCTCTTAAATTTTCAGCCACACCCAGCTTAGTCTTCAGACGTTGGGCGGGGGGCCGTTTTTGGGGTTGGCTCAGCTTCAAAGAACGCCAAAACTTCAGGTGAGCAACTGCTGGTTTGGATTTGAACTGGAATCATTTGGCAACCAGTTGGAACATGTTGCTTTTTCAACACCAAAATGAAGGGGTTTACCACCATTTACAAGTTGCAATGTTCAGGTGTATAATGTAAGGATCCCTCTTGTACCACCTCTACAAGATGTTCTACAAGAACTGCTTCTTGTACCACAGATGGAGTTGAAGTGGCTCTTGTAGTTGGTTTGAACTGTAATTGGTTAAGTGGTCTAGATGGGAAAGACCTCCAATTCACCACCAATCCACATGTTTTCAGACCGCCAAGTCCTGGGAAGCTGAACACCGGCGGGCCTTGTTTTGGTTGGCGTTGGAAAGAAAACCCAAAAGGAGATTACGTACCCATACGTTACAGTCTGACATCTTCAAGACGTGGTGAGCCTCAAGAGGTGGTGATCCTCAGGGTTCAGCCCCAGGCTTTGTTTTCTTATGTGCTAACTTGGAGCGACAACACCGGTATGTTGCAGCGGCAAGGGGTTCTCGAAGTCGGATTTTGGCATGGTCTCATGTTTGTGCTTGCCGTGGAAAGGCCGAGGACAAAGTCTCAGAGGCGTTCACTTTAGACCTTTGTCCTCTCTTGTGCCATGTTCGTTGCTCTTTCAACTTGCTGGTTTGTCTATGTCACATGGCATTTGGTTTTTGGTTTTCCGCTTTGCGGAATTCTGCTACGTGTCATGCGGGACCTTGGGGAATCGGGGTGCTCACATTTGGACTTGTTAAAAATGGGACCTGTCGGTATATCAAGGGGTCCAGGAGTGTCTAACCCCCTGTGCTGAGAAACAGCTAAGTTCTTCTATTTGAGGTCTTGGCTTTAGTTTAACCGTGTAGCTTCCTGCTTAAGATTGCTTAAGTGATTGATATTGTGCAAGCTAATTTCCAGTTTAAACCTTTCATATTGAAATCATCCTTCCTCCCACTAACATTGCATCTGGAAGAGACATTTCCTCTTGCAGGAACCGACTGTCAAAGGCCATGGCAATGGAGGAAGGGTGGTCCTATTGCCTCTTTTTATACTGCTGTGTCTATTTTTGAGGCTGGGTACCCTTTTCGCAGTTGGCTGAAAGGGAAACCAAGGCGAAAACGACGCGATTCGTCTTGCTGGTGTTCTGTAGGGAATGACCCAGGGTTTTGGGAATGAACCTAGGGATTGCCTTAAAGAAAATCCAACCGAGGCCAAGCCGCGGGCTCCCTCCCGACGCCGCAAGCCGCAGGTTATGCAGTAGGGAATGACCCAGGGTCATGGGAACGAGCCTAGGGATTCTCTGAAAGGAAACCTTTATAGGGATCATCCCAACTCAGGCATTCCTGAAGGCACCTCTCGAACGCCGCGGGCTCCCTCCACATCCCTCCACACGCCTTCCGCCCGCCGCCGCCGGCCAGGTGATGCACCACCCACGGGAGGTCCAAGAGGCCGCCGCGGTCAAGGAGCTGCAGCGGCGGTTCCCGGCCTCGGTGGCCAACGTGAGCGGGCCCAAGCCGGTGCAGAAGAAGGTGCCGGTCCACGGCCCCTCGTTTTTTTGTTTGTTTGCTTTTTCTTTCCGGTTTCGGTTGGTTTAGTGGTTTCGTGGTGGTTTTGAGTAGTTTTTTTGTTTTTGGCAGTTGCCGAATGTAAGCCTCAAACTTGAACTTGGTGGTGGTTCATCTACTAAGGCCATCTATTGACGAAAAAAGGGCACCTGTGCTTGGCGCTGCCCAGCCGGATGGATTAATATGGGGTCAACATTGCGTTTGTAGTGCTGTTGTTTTTCTTTTTTCTTTTTATGCTCCCTCAGACTAACAGGCGGCAGCTCCTGGGAGCTTCCAGGTTAGTCCGGGGGAGGACAGGATAGTAGTTGGCTTAGCGGCAGTTTCCAAGTTTGAATTCAGTTTTCAGCTTTTAGCGCGGGGACCTGAGCACAGGAAAGTCCGCGCGCTGGGAGCTTGGGGCTCAAGCTCCAAGGAAGTGCGCGGAAAAAGCGAGGGTCATGTCGGGGTGATGGTTGGGGAACATTGGAATCCCTGGTAGGCTCATTGGGATTTGGGCAATCCGTGCTTTGTTTTTGCGAGGGGGCCCGGTGGATCGACCTGCGGGGAGTGCTTTGCGATTTGATTTGGGTGGGCACGGCTTGGCTTCTTGGGAGGCCTACCTTCAGCTCCCACCTGATTGGTGATTTGGATTGGGCATGTGAAACTGTTCTTGTACTTCCATTTGCTTAAGAATGTCGTGTATTGCCCTGGTTGGTTTCTATCACTAGTGGAAATATGTGTATGTTTTTAGGCTGCAAAAACGCAAATGGAAGTGTAGCAATCGGGAATCCAACTCCTAACCTCACGAATTCAAGTGGTCAAACCACTTGAGAAGCTGACTGAAGGCTGGCCCATGGCCAAGGTGAGTCCGACATGCAGGTAGAAGCCTACAGACGCCTTTAGGCCTTGGTTTGATCCCAGCATAAACCGTGGATGGACAAAATGTTGCACCAGCTAGTAGGCGGTTTACCCCATGATTTCCACTTTTGGCATTCCGCTGGTGTGTTTGATGGGTGCGGGAACTACAGGTTTGTTTGTTTACTTGCTTGCTTGCTTGTTTGCTTGCTTGCTTGCTTGTTCGCTTGTTTGCTCATTTGTTTGTTTGCTTGCTTGCGGGTTTGCTTGCTTGTTTCCTTCCTTGTTTGTTTGCTTTCTTGCTTCCTTGATTGATTGCTTGTTTGATTGCTTGTTTGATTGCTTGGTTTGTTTGCTTGTTTGTTTGTTTGCGTGTGTGTTTTTGCGTGCGTTTTTGTTCCACCTTCGGTCTCACTTCACCTGAGGCAAGGTCTTGTACTACCCCTGCGGCTGGCGCCTCATGTTCAAGGGCCGCAAGCGCTTCATCTCGGCCCTGGACGTCTCCGGCCGCTTCGCGGAGCTGCTGGGCCTGGGCGCAGGCGAGGGGCGGAGCGCCGCAAGCGGCGATTGGGCGCGGCCGGTTTTTCGGGTCCTGTTGACTCCAGGGGCCCCCGAGAAAGCCTGCGGAAACCCAGGGAGAACGGCAGTCTGTTTTTTTGGAAAGGGCGATGGTTGAAAAGAATGGAATCGGAATCAACCCCTAGACTGCTATTGGGTCAAGTTCAGACCTTGTTCCAAGCAACTCAGGAAGTGAGAGAAGGGTGGTTGCCCATGAACCCCTCCAGGGTTTCAATTTTTGTGGCTTGGAGGTGTTTTTTTTTGGGGGGGGTTTCCCACATTGACCCTCAAGACGTCCAGGGCTTCGAGTCACCAAACTAATCCACTACTCAAGGGAAGCCCCGCCATAAACTTCCCTGATTTGGCCCAAATTTCGTCAAGCTTCAAAAAGGTGATCACCTTTATATGGTAAAGTGAGTAAGCCCGTTACTTTATCTCCGCTTTTTTGTGCAGCTTGCCAGGTGTGGAAGCCACGGAGGCCGTGGCCAATGGGGGCGTCATCGACCTCCGAAGAGAAAAGGATAAGGAGAAGAAGCGGGAGGCCCGGCCTGGGTCCTTCTTAGCGGGGATTCCTACGGGATTCCTTTCTTGCAGGAACCCCCATCAATGGTTTATGATTCGGGGGGTCAACATTATTATGGGTTGTGGAGCGATGGATATGTACTCCTTTGCTCAGTTGTTCAGTTTCACCCTGGTTTTTCCTGGTTTTTGGTGGCTGCCCCACTCAAAATGGTTTTCCTCAAAAAGGGTTCCCTTTTTTCCAGGATCACTGAACAACTGAGTTCAGGAAAGTAGGAAACCTTTGGTTGGTATGGAGCAGCTGGTCTCAAAATAGAAATCGGCGCCCAAAATGGCAACGGCTTCCTTTGGGATCGCTTTAAAGCAACTCAAAACGGGGACGCATATGGAAGATTGCTGATCCCCGACTTTAACAAAACAGGACACATTGGTTTTTGCAAACACATTTCTCCCAATGAAAAATCATCCCCAGATGTGGTTGTGTGGTTTTGGGGGCTTCTTTCTCCTGCCCGAGGTAGCGTTTTTGAGCGAACCCAAACAGCAAAAAGCAGATACCGCGTTTTGGACCGAGGAAGCCTCGGAGGAGAGCAGCAGTGACAGCCTGGTGGATGAGCTGATCCTCAGGAGGGCACCTGCGTTTTCAGCAAACGACAGGTTGGGATGCGGTGACTAGCTCAGGGCTCCAAAGAAGCGTACGATTCGCTTGGAGGCCGGAGGGTCGCCTTGTTTTCCTTTTTTTTGAAACCAGGCCCCCAACTTGCTTTGCCTGCATGTAGGTCCTACCAAATATGGCAGCCGGATGGCAGCAGTAGAGTTCGTATGAACCGGCTAAATGGATGCCAGGCTTGAGAGGGGGCAATCCCTCTTGCCCTGCAGCATCCTGTTGGACAGGTCTGCGTGACGCAGCAATGGCAAGTTGGATCCTGATCATGGCCCTTAGCACGCTGCCATGAATGGCCGCTGCCACCTAACTGCAGACACTTTCACGGGGTTTCCTCCATGTCCCGTTTTGGAACCTCCAAAACTGGCAATTTCATGGGCAACCATCAGAAAAAGAACAACTTTTGAAGGGGAAATCCTTTCAGGAACCTCTTCGGCCAGTCAGCTCAAACACATGTCTCGCTGGAATTCTGTCCATATCGATCAGCATATCCCTGGTGCAGGGTCCCGGCGCCAATCCCACCTACCACCCCCGCACGCAACCACGCGCACACACACACACACACACACACACACACACACACACACACACGCATTCCGTTTGAAAACTAACATGGAACGAAACATGTGTCAGCGAGGGGCCCGAAAAGTGGTTTTCCCTTTTTTGGGTGTGGCTCAAAATGGAAAAGCTGGGGTTACGCAGGTTTTAGTCTTTGCTTCCATTTGCCAAGGTGCTATTTTGGTACATTTTTGAGCCACTGCCAATTGGCTTCCCTTCAGTCCAAGGTTGGATTGGGGACCTGTGAAAACCGGAGTCCGCTTCATCGGGTTGTTTCACCGAAAACTTCCGACAGTTCCCTTTTCCAAAACCGCGTGCTCCAACTGGGTGTGGCGTTCTTTTTGTTTTAAAGAGAGACCAAAAGGAAACACCGCAACTGGGTGTGGTTCTCTTTTTAAGGAGGACAGCCCCTAGAAACTGACACATCCGGGTTTCCTCCATTTCCTTTTTGGGGTTCCACCAAAGTGGCGATCGTAGTTTCAATGGACACCGCTAGTAAATTCATCAACTTCTGATCTGGATAGATCCAGTGGGGTACCGTTGGTACCCCAGGTTTTGTCCTCAGGGAAGCCAAAAGGCAAACCATAGTTTGTCGAGGGTGTATTTGGGACGCTACCCCTAAACCAAGGGGAAGCTGAAATTTTGGGGGGCCCCAAAAAAGAAACGACCCCGTCGATGCGGGGCTTGAGAAGCATGTCCCAATGGCTACTACTGCCACCAAGGTCTGATTCTCTGGGCCTTGTACACCGTGTCAGGCCTGAAGGAAAGGTCTCTTCCCCAAAAAAATGGTTGGCCCCCTTTCTCTACTGCTGTTGGGTTGGATCTTTAGACTTTAACATTTTGGATTCCCCTCATATTTCCTTTTCTACAGCACCCAAGTTTTAAGGGGCAGAACTTGTTTGGGAAGACGGGTACCCCCGGGCCAAAGAAACGCCCCCCCCCCGGTTGTTGGGAACATGTTTCCCCATTTTTGCTTATTGTGACTTAGTGGTTGGAATCCACCCACTGAACTGCTAAAGTTTAAATTGTTGCTCCCCTTCCAACGTCAACCAAGCCCGGATGGTCTGAAATCCCTTCCATGAACTGCTTTAAAAAAAAATGCTCCCCAAACCCAACGTGAAGCCGCAGGAATCTGGATACCAGCGACCTCAAGGACCTGTGCCGAGAGGCGGGCCTCGCGGCCAGCGGCGCCCGAGCCCAGCTCATCGCTCGCCTCCTGGGGTCTTCCGAGCCACGCGCCGAGACTTGGCGCCGCTTTGAGGAGGCCGGGGACGTGAGATGTTGGAGGAAACCCTCCAAAATCCCAGGGGAAACAACAGGTTGAATGAGAAATACCAGGTTTGTTGATCCGAGTTGTTGGAGGAAACCCTCCAAAATCCCAGGGGAAACAACAGGTTGAATGAGAAATACCAGGTTTGTTGATCCGAGTTGTTGGAGGAAACCCTCCAAAATCCCAGCAAAACAACAGGTTGAATGAGAAATACCAGGTTTGTTGATCCGAGTTGTTGGAGGAACACCTCCAAAATCCCAGGGGAAACAACAGGTTAAATGAGAAATACCGGGTTTGTTGATGAAAACCTACCCTTTGGGCCTACCCTTCCCAAAACAACCAACATAGAACCTGCAGAGGGGTCCCCTTGGAAGGAAAATTGTCTCACAGGAACCCTGTGCAGGTTTTCTTGGAAGATACCCTTCTAGGGGTTGAGTCTTTGTCCATCGTTCTTTTCAGAAACCAGCTGTCTCCCCTGGGTTTTGAGGATTTGCTGAAAAGAAGGATCCTTGGAAGAAAGAGGAAGCTTTTTTTTCTAGAACCCTCCCAACACAAACATAGAACCTGCACAGCGGTGCCCTTAAAAGGAAGAATCCAGGAAGACCTTTTCAGGGTCTAGGGTGTCTTTTTGCTTGGGAGAGGTAGAGAATCACGACTTTACCCTCGCTTGCCCAAAGTGAAGTGAACTCTTGACCTGTTGGTTTTCCTGAGTTGGTCCATTTTGTCAAACCAGGTGGGTACGAGTCAAAATTTAGCCGCCAGGGGACCGCAGGTTTTAGTTGTTGGTTCCAGTTGCCAGGGTTTCACCCACAGCCAGGTGAACCCTGTATTTCTGGGTCTGGGCAAGTGAGTCCCAGCTGCTTTTAAAGGATTCCCTGGTAGAGCAGGTGGTCTTGGGATGTATCCTTCTAAAAGCCCCGTTCTACCGACCGCCTGGTTTAACAACGAGAAAAGAAAGTCGCATAGCTTGGCTGGTTGAAAGCTGGCTTTCCGAATTCAGGAAGTTCCCAAATGAGGCGTGGTCAGCATTCCCAGTCCATTGTTCATGTGGAATGCCACCAAACCAGGAGGCTTATTATTGAAGCATCATGTCTTCTTCTCCGGACCCATAGGGAGTGTTAGACAGTGATGGCCCCTTTTTGCATGATGTTGACTATTGAGGCATCATGTTTTTGTTGGCGGGCCCATAGGGAGTGTGTTGAAAGGATACGTGTAGGGAGCAAGCCGTGTCTCAGAGGGTCCAAGTAGCGCTCGGGCATTTGGGGCAGCACGGTGCTTGGACCCTGTGGGTTTTTTTGCCCCCGGTGCCAAAGGGGGGCCAATCCTGATGTGTGGATCTGGGTAGGTTTTGGTTTTGGCCTTTTTCATATCAAAAAGCAAAAGTTTTCGTCCAGGTTCCCCGAAAAAACCAACCGTTCACCGACACCACCTCTTCGTTTCAGGTAAGTTTTGATTGGGCAAGCTTGGGTTTTTGGCATCCACCCATGTGAACTAGATCTTGGCCGATATTGCGGATGCTGCTTGGGCTTGTTTTACGACTGTCCTTTTGAAGTTGAACTTTGGGACGCCCTCAAGAAGCGCCCGCAAATTTCCATGTTGTAGGCTGCAGGGATTTGGAGGACGGTATGTCCTTTTAGGCATCTAGGGAATTCAGAAATCCAACGCATGTCCTTTCGGCATCCTTTGGCTGCGGGTTATCCTGGTTTTGGACCATGTGGCAAGTGCTCCCAGAAAGCAGTTCTGGCTGTCCCATTTCCCCAGCCGGATTGATCACTTCCTTAGAGGACCCCATTGGCACAAGTCTATCCGGCAAGTTCGGACATTTGAAGCAACCGGAGACTTAGTTTGGATCTTGTCAACCTAGGCTGTTGGTGTCCTCTTGAATCCAGCCAAGAGGGGGCTCAAAAACATCAAACAGCACCATGGGTATACTTTGAGGATCCCCTGCTGAGGACAAGGAGCCCAAAGCTTCCCGACGCGCCGAGCACGAGGCGAAATGTCGCATTGGGCTCCAAGTTGGTCTGGAGTGACGGCTTTTGCGAGGGAGGCGTTTTCTTTGCAGGGATGCAGGGGGCTGTTTTTGTTGGGGAAGGGGGGGCTTATTTGGGGGGAAGGGGACGGGCTGACGGTTGGGGACCAGCCGCAATGTTTGAAGCCAAAACTAGGTCCCCCAGCTAGGTGCGCTTTCTCACCCCTTTTTTTGAGGGGAGGGTTCCCCTACTAGACTACAGAACAAAGGGTACCCTTGATCTAACCTCTCTTCTGGAGGACCTAGAAAACATGCTGGGCGCAGTGCCAGCATCCGAAACTTTGCAGCCGCAACTGTTGGCAACCGAAGCATGCGCTGCGCCCTTTTCTGCAAGCGTGCCTTTCAAAGGTTTGTATCTTGCTTGGGGTTTGTTAGGGGGATCGAAAAGGCAAGCCGCTGCCATGTTGCTTGGGTTCCTTACACGTTCCCGAACACCTCAACCCAAGCATTTGCAACCTCGCGGTTTTGACGGAGCATTCTTGGTGGATCCTTCCCTTGGCGACGTCGAAAGCCTCGACATTTCAACTTGCCCGAAGTCTGTGAGTTGGATTCAGGCTGGATGTTTTCAACATTCCACCGGAAAAAAAAGAACGGAAAATCAATCCAACTGCTAAAGTCAAGTGGGAATGAGGGGTTGGTTCCCACTTCTGACGTAGGGAAACCTCCCCTTAAATTGCAGAACTCGAAATTTGCAAGGCCGTCCACCGTCAAACTGTTTCTGTTTCATTTCATGTTTTCCTTTTTGGCATAGCGGCCAAAACAACAATTGGGTTGGGGTGCAACAAAACGGGGTCCCCCTCCATTCCTGCCTTTGCCCGAAGCCATTGCTCCGTTTGGTCATTTGTCATCAATCCCGAGGCCAAAGAACTAAAGTGACGGATTTTTCATTGCAAAGGGATGTGTCTTTCCTCAGAGTAAATTAAGAATCACAGGCTATGCAACACCCAGTCGAATCGAACACCGTGATCGTGACTTTTTTAAAGTACCCGCAACTTTATTCAGCTGACTTCGGTCCTGCGTGTGGAAATTTAAGCTTCAAACAAATAAGGACAAACAACACGTTTTACACGCTTTTTTGTTGTTCATTGGTCTTTTTAGACCAATCCCCTTGACCCGTGTTGTTTTGGGGGTTGCTTTTTCAGACCCATCCCCTGGACGGGGCGGCGCTGAGTGAGACTGACACGACGGCTCGCTGGCGCGTAGGAGAGCCTGGAAGAGCTGCAGCGCCTGGAGGCGATCTTCGCCCAGGCGGAGCTGGAGGAGACGCAGCGGCGGCAGGTGGAAGCGGAGGCGGCGCGGGCGGCGCAGGAGGCGGCGCGGGCGGCGCAGGAGGCGGGGAGCCGGGGGGGGGGGGGTGGCTGAGACGTTGATGGTTTTCTCGTTTTGTGTTGCTTTTCTTCTGGGGGTGGCTGAGACGTTGGTGGTTTTCTCGCCTTTTTGTTCTTTCTTTTTCTGGGGGTTTAAGGTGAAGCTTTTTCTGGAGGTCTCAGGTTTTTCTGGGGGTCTTTTTTTTGACCGGGGTGTCCTCAAGCGAGCCGTCCATTTGACCCTTTTGGTTTTCATGCGGACCGCCCATTGACAAGTGAAGGTTCCATTTGGTTTCAGGCATTCCCGTCTACAAAGAATTGGTGCCTATGTTCCCAGGAAATGTAACAGCTTCATCATAACAACTCCGTGTTTGGACTTTAGTCTTCCCCAAGGCTGTGTGCTCCAACGGAAAGGGGTGATTTCAGCATGGCTCCGGTAGCTTCCGGAGCCACGAGAAACAGTTGCTGGCTTTTGTTCCCAAATCAGAGGCACACGGCCGTGGATCATACTTCGGTTATTCATGCTAAGCATATATGCCGATTTATCCGAAGAGCTTCTTCACACATACAAGTCACGCCACGTGTCTAGTGTCACCAGCAGTTGCAAAAAAGCGTCCGAGGCACTGGTAGCGAAGGGTTCTGCCATGATTGAAAAAGGTCCGCCCCCGGCCCATGGATTTTCCTTCCGGTCCTCGCATGCTAAATCCACAATGCAACCTCAGGAGGAGAGGCGGCTCAAAGAGCTTCAAGAGCGACAGGAGGAGGAGAGGCAGGAGCCGGCATAGGAGAGGGTGCTAGTATTTTCCCCTTTGCCCAGTTTTGAAGTTTTGTTTTGCTCTGCGGGGGGGGGGGGGGGAAGGAAATGAGTTCCCTGCCCAATGGCCAGGGTTTCCGTGGCCACTGCGCTGAGTTTCTGACAGCATTCATGGCAGAGAGAGAGAGACCCAAAGACTTGTAGCGTATCGCTTCGTATTGCCCACGAAGCGGTTTCTTGGGCCTTGTCTATGGTCTACAAGCTCTTCGCAATAGGCGGAAAGGTTGCTGAATACTCGCAATCGGACTATTCGGATGTCAGTGATTGTAGCCAGCAAGCCCCTCTTTCAGAGGTCCTTGATTTCTGGGGGCTATCACATCACCTCTTGGGCCAGGTTTCCTGTTGGTGAGTTGATCTTGGGGACATCAGAGGTTCCGGCACTGTCAGGTTTTTCATGAGGGATCCCGTGTTTCAGCCGGTGCGGATGCTCTTGGTCATGTCCTCCCCTTTGGTAGCTTAGCTGCTCAATGGCCCGTGCTTCCTAAGGGCGATTGAGTCAATCACAGTGACGGCTTTGGATGGTTGGAACAAATTGGTTTTGGAGGGCGGCACAGTGGAAGGCCGCCCTTTGCGAGCTCCATGCGCCTTGATCCGAAGACCCCTTTAGTCTGGGGTTTCAGGAAATTCCTGTCAAGGGCACCCCAGAGAAAGCTCACCTTCACCATGGCAATATCCATGCGGCTGTTGTGGCGTCTTGGCTTCTGTGATACTTGAAAAGTGATCACGGCACGGGGATGCTCAACTTTCTTCTATCACGGCAAGTAATGGTTAACAAACCCCTAGTTGAAAGGGGGTGTGCCCCTAGATGCTCATGGAACCAAAAAAACACATCCATTTTTGCAGGAAGCTTCTTTTGGGAAGTGGATCCCCTTTTGGGTTCCATGTCAATCGCACTTGCCCACAGCCCCTTTTGACCTGGTTTGGACCATGTTCGTTTTAAGGGATCGGGTCCTGAACGGCAGGTTCCATGTGAAATGGGTGGGATGGTAGTTTATATTCATACAGGGCCCTACTTGGATGTTCAACCAACTTAGGTAGGATTTTCGCCATGGTTGCAGCTCGTGCAACTGGGGCTAAAACTCCAACTGCTTACGAAGTTGGTTGAACATCCAAGTCCCCCCGTGCAACTTAGCATGGACTCCACGGGGTTTGAGGGATCTGCAATATGGCTGTGGGTCAAAAATATGGTAACCCCAACATGGAACTTTGGTAAATGGAAAGGACTCAAACCTGCGGTACATGGTTGTTGTTGGGAAACATGTTACATTTTTGCTTGTGGTTTAGTGGGAAATCCCCACTTAACTTCTAGGATTTGCCGATTCAACCCCCACAGCCGCCGCAAATTCGACGCCAGGCGTGCGGCGAGCGTCGCCATGCGGGCCTTGATCCAAGCGGAGCAGGTCGGGCCGCGTTCGGGGCCGATGGTCTGGCCAAAGGGCTCGTCTATGACTTGGGTGGTTCCCTGCCATTCCCTGCCATCCGGCCAAAGGCTCCTTAGGTTTCTAGGTGTCTTGGTTTGTCTAGTTGGTTTGGTGGTGTCCATTTAGCTCGCTAAAAGTTTGAGCAGGGGATCTGAGAACCGCCAATCGGCAACATGGATCCCATTTCCCCAAGCTAAACTTCTGCGAATGGCGGGAGTGCTGCTTAAGATATTGTAAGGGAAACCAACAGGAGATGTATATGTGTGTTGTTTTCCAGACCATGTATTTAACAGCCAGCGAGTTTTGATCACGGTTCAATCCAGTTGTTTAACAGCCAGCCAGCATGCCTTGTGCCCTTCACGAATGAAGAGCGCCCCCAATAGCTTCAGTATGCTTTAGCCTTCTGATCATCGTGAGAGTGAGCGAAAGCTGCTGCGCTCGGTGGGAAACTGAGAAACAATCAAAGCCAGACGCGCACACACACACACACAACGAGCAACACACCACAGGACCACTCACACGCACCAGAGCCTCAACAAGCAAGCAAGCAAGCAAGCGAGCTTCCATGATTGTTGGAGGGAGGGTAAGCCTGCTGGGAAAAACATGTCGCCACCCACTTGTGGAATGGTTGGGGGTTGTTGTGGAAGACGACTTTCCATCATGGGAATCCATGTTGAGGGTCAAATGGAACATGGTAGTTTCTCCCGTTGTTGGTTGTAAAGGGAATCGATCACCATAAGAAATCTAAGGTCTTTTTTTTGCCCTTCTGGGGCTTAGAGCGGAAGAAGTCGCCCTTTTCCGCGTCCGAAGCGCAGGCGCGGGAGCAACAGCAGCGACGGCTGGGGCACCAGGCCGCGCAGATCCTCGAGTCCCTCCGCGCGCCGCCGCCGGCCGCGACGGCGGGCGCCATGAAGGCGGTGAGCGCCCCGAGTGCGGCGTCGGAAGGCGGGGAGGGACCTGCGCAAAGCGCGCAGGTTGGTGCTGAAGAATGGGGCGGTTTCTTGGTTGGGGACTTCTTTTTTGGCATTTCACGGGTAAACCGCGAAGCTTGGGCTTTCTGGCTATTGGTTGGCTGTTGGTAGAACGCTCAACACACAATCCACAACACCGCGACACACCACAACACACACACACACAGCACAACACAAAACAGCACAGAACACAACACAAACACTGGCCTTTTTAATTTCCCCTGATCAAAGTCACCCCCTAAGTGATGGGTTAAAGGAAAAGCAACACAGAACACAACACAAACATGCGCTTTGGTTGGCAGGCCCAGGCCTGGCGCAGCCCACCTTGCCGGTGGTAAGGGTCTGGCAGCCTCGCCAGAACGCGGCGCTGCGGCACTTGATGCCGCTGCACAGGACGGACGTGCCCAGGCGCACACTGCATGCACACCGCCTGGGCGGGAATCCCGGACGACAACTGACTGGGGTCGGGAGTATTATCTGGTTTCATAGGGCCTTACCAAAAGTTCATGGGTTTTGGCGTCTGTTGAAAAACAAGGGAAATGTGTGGCGAAGCGGCAATTTGTCCGGATTGGGTGTGTGGTACTGTGGCTTGTCCAGTTCCGCTGGGCAATTCCACGCGATCAGGAATTCCTATTATGAACTTTTGTTTTCTTTTCGCTTCCCCTCTCTCTTTATCTCTCTCGCTCTCTCTCGCTCTCTCTCTCTTTCTCTCTCTCTCTCTCTCTCTCTCTCTCTCTCTGTTCTCTCTTCGCCTCTATCTTTGAATATCCAAGATGTCAGGATCGAATGCTCACCAGCCCGGTCGCGTGGGGGATTTACGAGCCGTTGCGGCGATTTTGGGTCAGCAGAGATCATAGCCGCCGGGGGAATGCGAAGGATACCATCCAGCCAAAGCAACAGAGTTTTGCTTTATGCATTGCCGGAGACCAAGGGTTGCCGGACTGGCCTTATTCATGGGTGAGAAAAAGGAGATGGTGGCCCTGCCGCACACGCTTGTTTGAGTGAAGCTTCGGCCACTTTTCCCTTCAAAAGTTGCAAGGCCAAAAGTCAGGCTGAATTGCGCTCCATGTGTCGACTGCCAGGCAGTTGCATCCCTGGCCTGGCGAGCTTTCTGCACGTTTGGCGGCAGAAGCGCCTGCAGCTGCGCCGGCCGTGCCAGCCGCGCCGGCCGCGCCGGCTGCGCCGGCTGCGCCGGCCGCGCCGGCTGCGTCGGCTGCGTCGCCTGCGCCGGTTGCGCCTCGACTTTGGCGCAGGTTTCTTTGGCGACCGGATGCATCCGGAATCATTGTTCTGCCTATTTTATGGCGAGCTTACCTGCCAATAGATATTTTGCGCAGATGATTTGGCATCATTTGCAGACGGCTGTGGAAAGCTTGGTCTTAGGTCTAATTATAACCGCTTCGCGCTGCATACCTCGCTCTGTCCCCCAAGAAGAAAGGATGCCGTAGTCACAAGTACCTCATACATCAAAGACAAAATTGGTTTCCCCTTTCGTCACTGAGCTGCGAGGTGCCGGGCAACATAGCGTGACACCTGCAGATTGCCCGCAGCCCGAAGGCAAAAGAAGCCTGGCAACTGAAGATGCAAGTGCATAGCAAAGCTCCTCCCGAGGCAACGGCCAAAAGAAATGCCTGTGCAAAGAAAAGGCCAACAGCAATTTCCCACCGTGTGGCGGACACAGCCAAGTAATTCTATATTTCACAAGCACCCTTGCGGGCATCACAACAGACTAATCATATCATCTCCGCCTGCGCGGTCGTTTGCGCCGCATGAGAGGCTGAATGCCAGAAAAGCCACAGACGACAGGCCGGAGCGCACTGCACAGTATCCGCGCAACCGCACTGAAGGACCATTATCCGAGCGTGTGAAACCTGCAGCTGAGCCAGTACAATTACTTTGCACATAATTGTAGCCACTTGCCTCGAAGCAATTGAATAGTCACAAGTAGCACTGTGTTCAGTACCATGTGTACACAATGGACATGACGTAGTCTGGGCAGTGAACGGAAGCACCACCCCAAACTAGCCAATGCCCAACACGCGCAAGTCACTCGTACAATTGCGTCCAGAGGAGCCATGGTATCGTTCCTTGCAAACATATTCCAACCACCACGGAAATCACTGCGACATCAATATAGAAAACCACACTTTTGTGCATGAGCAGCAAAGGCTTCACGACATAGAAGTGTCCTGCGGTGACATCACGGTTGCGAACCTGCGTTGCCAGCCGCCGCCCGCGTACAACAGCAAAAGAAGACCACGCCAAACTGCGTCCTCGCCCTGGTAGATCCCCCATTCTAGGAAAATGCATTTAGGGGGGGGACCTAGGTACCTTATGCATTTTATGTTTATGCATTTTTCTCCCCACGTAGAATCTATAGTGCGCTATCATTTTTTGCCAGAAATCTGCTGTCGCACCACGAAATCTGCTTCCGGCCGCTGGGCGCAAGCGGATTTGAAGGACTGCGCAGAGCGCTTGCGTGCAGCGGATAGCGAATGCTGAGCGGCTGGGTGTTGAGCGCGGAGGTATTTGCGACCAGGTTCATATGTAAATAGCCATCACTTGAGTCATGCGGGGGCATTCAAGGGTGTATCACACAGGTGCTCCATTTGTGGTCTTGCCTGGATAACGATACCCAACAACGATCTCCAAGATGTAGGTCAAAAAACACCTAAGTGGGTCGATGTCAAAAGTAGGCCTTCAGCCCAAGCTGAGCTGTACAGGGCACTCATTCCTTCTGCTCTGGTGGTTGAAGGAGGCTTTGTGGCATGTCCTGGCTCCCGGATGTCGAGGGAAAACCTTAAAACTGCAGATATGCATTTTCCAGGTCCCCCACCCCTTATGAGTAGGGGATCCTGGTAGCTTTGTGGTAGCGCGTGGATGCGAGGAATGCCACTGACTGAAATATTGACAAAGTCATAGGCAACATAACCAGCAAGCCGAAGCCATATCGATTGAAGTCAAGCCCACAATGCAGACCTCCAACACCCGAACCATCACCTCCTATTGCAAGATGTCCACCACGGACAAGTAATTCCTCATTGAATTATCCAAGGCATAGGCCCGAAATTGGTCGAAACAGCACTACCAGCTGGCAGGTTCTCGTGTCAAGTGCTATACATCAAAAACCGGAAATAGAAGTTCTAGCAAAAGAACCTGGTTCACGAATCCGAAACCTGGTTTTTCGGACACTGCTTTTTGGAATATGGGTCCTTGGATCTGTTCGGGTTAATTACGGGTTTTACACGGGTTCTGACATACAAAACTGGCTGTTGGCACCAAACCCCGGCTTTGAAGGCGATGTATACTGTGGGGTTTATTACTCAGTGTTCGACTTTGCTTAGAGAGACTAGGTCTCCCAGTAGTGCCCTTTTACATTTTTTTTGGGGAGGGTTCCCTACTAAAGCAGACTACAAAAATAAGTTGGCACCCGTATTCTAACCTCTCTACTGAAGGACCTAAATAGACTACAGAAAAAGGGGTACCCTTCGTCTAACCTCTCAAATCTGGAGGAAGGAGAACAACTCCAGGTAGAAACTCCAGCTGCCGAGGCCCGCGCGCACGACGGCCAAGACCGGGCGGTGCCGGGCGAGCGGCGACCCGAGCGAACGGATGGCCTGCAGGTAGGAGCCGAGACGCCTGCGGCGCGGAAGCCGCGCGAGTCCGCGGATGCGAGGTGGGGTCGCCAAGGGCGCTTGGGGCAAGGGCTCGCGGTTTCGGTTTTCCAAGGGCGCGCGGTTTCCTGAGCTCTTGGACTTGAGTCACTTCTTGGGTTTGGACCATGTTGGTGGTAAACTCTTTCTTGTTTTTGTTTTTTGCCAGCTGAGGATATTGGGGAGAAGAAACCCGGCAGTGGGATCTGGAAAGGGCGGGCTCGGAAATGTCCCAAGGTGAATGGGCAAGCAGTGACCCTGCTTTTTATGCAGATGGGCCACTCCAATGGGGAAGCAACCGCTCCTTGGTCAAACCGGTCAAACCGGACAAACCGTTGCATCTTCGGAACAGGCGCCCTTGCTCCTTGGGGCACCTCGTCCGAGCTACTTACACCGCATGGCCCACCAATGGCCAAACAGAAATGGAACATGCAAGACAAGAAAAGGACACAGCTTCAGACTTCCAATGTTTCACCGCGTTTCTCCACAGCCCCAATTCTAGAAGCCAAGTCGCCCAAGCTGAATTTCCCGACAAAGACACCCACAGCTCGGCCACTTGTGCCATTCCAGGCCCCCGGCAAACGGGGATGGGTAACATCGGCTCCCAAACTACGATTAGTTTGCGACGATATCCTTCACCACTTGGAAACCATGGTTGAAACCACTGTTCGTTTTTATTTACAGGGGAATCCTCCCTCATTCGGGCCTCTTCGGTGGTGCAAAACGGATTTCGTCCATCCACAGTATGGTACCCCACCGAAAGCTGGCAAGCTCGGGGTGTCTGAAAAACTGAGCACAGGAACGCCTGCAAAAATGCTTGGAGGATCTGTGGCGTTCCTTTAAAACAACCGGAGAAAGGGTTCCCCCGCAAATATATATATATATATATATAAGAAAGAACGCAAAAAACGGGCAACAACAAACATAAAATGTCGAGGTTCGTTTGGTTTTCCTTTAGAAAAGGGGATTCCTTTAGAATAGCCATGTTAAATCCATAGGTGGTATCGAGCCTTTCTGGGCCCTTCGGCTCCATTTTTAATCTTTCTCACATTTACCATTGTAAAACCACACTGGCAAGAGAACTACCAGCCGGGATTCATCCTACTCCGGAAAGATTGCTGAGGTAAGCATTCATGACTCATAAACCTGGCCATGCCTGAGTCCAGGCCGTTCCGAGGGGATCGCTTAATGGCCCTGTTTGCCCCCCCAAAAGCCACCCTCAGGAGGTACTTGGACCCTTTGGGATGGTTATAGCCTACTGAACGGGTTCAACACATCGGGTTGAACACGCCATCCACAGGGCTCCGCCCAGCGAACCCTCGAGCCCCACGGAGCCTCCCTCGGGCGCAGCTACGCCCCCCGCACCGCCGCCAAAGCGCCAGAAGTTGCCGCGCGGTCGGCAATGGGCGGCGAAATGGGTGTTGGGGTACCTCTTTGCTGGGGTTTTAACGGAAATCCCACAAGGACGACGGTTATGTTGGGCGCCCCATTAAAGTTCACGGAAATCCTTTTTTGCTCCCAACTGTCAAAGACACCCTTTCCGCGCTCGGCGCGGGTAGTGGGTAGCAGCGGTTCGTCAGGAATGCATCTTAAGATGGTGCTGAACAAGTGGCCCTTTCAACAACCCATGAGTACCCGTTTCGGCACGGTTTTGGGGGGAAACCAAAGGGTTTCGAACATTTGTTTGTTGGGTCCGCTTTGACACCCATACTTATTGCCCAAGAAGAGCTATCCTTGAAGACTCTATCCCACTGGGCGCACCTGCAGTTGGCGGTTGTTTTGTGGGGGCCAGTCTGGTTTGGAGTCCATTCTGGCAGCAAGCCATGTTTATATTGGTGCGATGGCTTTGGCTGTTTTGTTGGAGGATTTGACATGCAAAGCGGGATGCTGCATACAACTACATGCATTGATATAGTATGCTTGTGGCCGAAGTCGTGAGACGATTCCATGTTGTTTGTTCCTCGCGAAGTTGTCGTTTGATTTGTTTTGCAGGTGTTGAATGTGTGAAACAGTCCGTGGTATTTGTCTTGGCTTGCACGGCCACTACGCAATACTACGCATGTAACAGGGCGCTCTGACTATCTCCCTCTCGGGTTCTGAGCACGAGTTTTTTTTGTGATGTGCATCCAAGGGCACGCCCACCCGTCTGACCGATAGATCTGGCACCAAGTGTCACCTAGTCCACTCCCACACCACCAGGACTCAGGAAATTACATAGTTATCAGAGGTGCATTTTGCTTGGATGTTAGGACTTTTACTTTTTGCCAATTAATGGGTTTTCCATGAAGCCACTAAAAGTTAAACTTTTAGCAGGGGAGCAGCAAGCAACCGAGTTATGTAGCGGCTATCCCATAAAGCCCGGAGCTGGTGTGGGAAGTGAAAGACCACAGCAGGGCCTAGCATGGCACCCCATCTTCTGACAGCTTCCGCTGCGCTTGTCGGAAAAAGCTTGGCTGGTGCTGCTGTGGCTCGCCTCATTGCACGGCCGCCTTTAGCACCTGTTGTGCTTTCTGGTCTGTGGCTCGGCAAAAACGGAGTCAATCAAAGCAAGGGTTGCCCGGGTTTTCCGCCACCACTGATTAATGCAAGCCTCGCCACGCAAATCGACTTACCGCCCGGCAGAGTCGAAAGGTTGTTTTGTTCTGAAGAGTCGAAAGGCAGCTTGGGGCGGGTTTCTAGTTGAGTCGAAAAAAAGACCGTTGTATGTGTCAATGTAAGGCATGATCCCAGGTCTTTTGGACCTATCAAATTAGCTGCACCGCCGCTTGTAATTTGAATGGCAGGAGTGTGTTGCAGGAGCGGCCGCGCAAGTCAAACATGGGGCCGCGCAAGTAAAGCGCAAGTGAAGCGCAAGTGACGCAGTGATGATTCATCATC